CCCTGAGCCGGTGAGATTTGAACCGCTGACCTGCTGATCTAGCAGTAGCCTGCAGTGCTGCATTTAACCACTGCGCCACCTTGGCTCTTTAAACTAAGTTGCCTTAATCTACCATAAGTTGTACCGTGTTTGAGGAATAATTAAGAAACAATGATGCCTTATACTGCATACTTTTTTGATTCCCTGCATCAAAACGAGGAAGCTCAGGGAATATTCCCAACAGTTTTGGATAACTGCATGCTCCGGAAGAATATAAGATGGTAAGTGAACTGAATTTGTGAAAAAATCTCAGCAGTAATGTCTTTTGTCTGGTTTTGACGTAGCAGCTGTGTGAACCCAGGCACTATAGCTTATTCAACAAGCTATCATTAGAACAAACTATAACTCAAAGTAATGTCTGAACTAAGCCAATGTGGGATTATGAAAAACTTCTGCAGAGGTTCAAGGAGGCCTTAGCCTACAGCTATACAATCACTGCTATTGGTTGAAAGCCTCTTACTCATCTCCTATGAAAGAGAGAAAACTAAATAATAGTTAGGAACTAGCTGCTCAGGCAAGGCTAACCAGCATCTGCTTTCTTTGAGCAAAGTGTGGGTAAACAATCTGGCAAAATACCAGCAACTCTCCAAGCAAAGGGGCCCGTATAGCATTTTCTCAGGCCTGGATTTATGGAGCCCGTAATTACAACTTGGAGTTAAGGCTGTGGAACTTACAACTGTCCAGATATTGTCGAAATAGATACAACTTCTAGCATTATTGAGTAGCTGAATTAAACTTGAGCATCAGCTCAGTAATTATAACCACCACATGCCTGGATTTGATGATTGCTGTTAGCCAACAGCAGCCGAAAACAAATAAATACAAGAAGCCATTTAATTCCTATGCTGACATTCTGACAGATTAATTTTGGGTCTTTTGTCTTTTTTGCACTGTAAGCATCATAAGCCACAAATTCCTGTGGAAAAGTGAAGCAAGGAAGCTATAAAGAATATGTTCTTAATTCAGTTTAATCTCTTATGATGAAAGAAACATTCATTTCCTTGTCAATCTTTCCAAGATCTCTGTGCTCTCAGTCAGAATAGCAAAGGGTAGGAACATATTTTCTTCTAGTGGACAAGAAAAGAAGGATAGCTTGACCTTTCTACATCTGCAGAAAATACAAATCTTTATATCTGCAGATAATAGAAAGAAAAGTGAAAAGAAATGAGAGCTGAAGATTTGAGGAGGCCTCAGGAATATCTCCAGTGGGATGCAACGTGTCTGTTACACTGCACTGATCACTTGGATCTTAAGGATATTATAGAGTCTCTAATTTGGAATAATTCCCTTTTTACGATCCTTTAGTAGATAGTTGGGGCTGAGCCGACGTGGCGCAGTGGTTAAATGCAGCACTGCAGGCTACTTCAACTGACTTCAGTTCTGCAGTTCGGCTGTTCAAATCTCACCGGCTCAGGGTTGACTCNTGTGGACTTCAACTCCCAGAATTCCCCAGCTGGCTGGGGGATTCTGGGAGTTGAAGTCCACAGGACTTAAAGTCGTCAAGGTTGAGAAACACTGCACTAAAGTAAAGTGATTGGCTGTGTGATTTGTTGTGCTGTGATAATACAACCAAGGTTTGGCTCACAGACTTCTACAGTTCCCAATGTTTTTCTTGTCCCATTATTTAAGGGTTTGGAATGGGGCGGGGGAGGAATTGATAGAAATGAAAGTAAAAATCAGACTTTAAAATAAAGTATGTGTTGTTTGTTTTTTAAATTTTTTTATTTAGTAATGTATTTCTTTTAGCCACTTTCTGAGTCATGTTCCTAGAGCCAGTAGCATACACATTTTGCAAAAAAACACACATCAATTTGCAGTACTTCAGTGCAAATAACAGAAATATGTGGTTATCTTGTTCTCGGGACCTCATTCCCCAACGCAAGCCCTTTGCAGCAACTCTTCTTTTACGTCCTGCTATCTGCCCAAGGCCAGATCCAAGACATCTTGACTCCTCATTCTGCTAAACAGAGACATGAGGATACTCTGAGCTGTCCAAGGCAGAAACCTCATCTCATTGTTCTAGGCATGGAATCCAAGCTTTTTTCCCCCAATCCAAGTGTTGATATCAGTGTTGGAAACAAGGTGAGCTGATATGGCTCTGAGGAAAAGCAATTGGGGCAAAAAGCACCTCTGAAGGGACTGGAGGTTGTGTCTGGAGAATCGAGCAGTGAGTCTCATGCGAATTCAACATTGTGGAAAACTGCTTCAGTTCATCTGTTAGTTGTTTGATTTCTCGCCGCAAAGCAGCATTCTGTCTCTCCAAGTCTTCACTCTCCTTTAATGAAGGAAAAGAAACAGGATATATCAAAGCCTTAGAGTCCCCATTATAGGAAATAAATGTGGGTAATCAACCCACTTGCGAAACAAGACGAATATAAAAATTCTAATTGTGTTATATCAAAGTAGTGAAATTAATTGTGCACTTAAAGCTTTTAATAATTTTTCACAGAACCAGAGTTAAATACAGTAAATTAGTGAGACCCTCACTTCCCTCCATACTTACTAGGAGAATCTTTATTGCAATCCTCTTCAGTATGGCTATTCTTAAAACATTCCATTATATGTCACCATGACACCTGAATGATTAATCAATTCTCACACAGGAATTCTGACATAAATCTGTCATGAATATATGCAATTACAATTGACTGTTCACCGTTGTACAATCAATTTGTACACCATTGGCCTCCACTGGCTCTAGGGATATCTGGCCAAGGATAATGAAATTCTCTTCTGATGCTCATTATGGTTTTACTTGATTATTAAAATATATTGTCCTTTTTGATGAGATAGGGAAAATCAGATTGGATGCTGATTGACTGGTGAATTACTAAAGCTATGAATTTCTCATCACCCTTCCTAAAACAAAGGCAGCTCCAGGAGGTGGGTTCCGGCAGGCACTACTGCTGGTTCATTTGTGCGTGCGCTGCGTGCGCTTGATGCACACAATGCGCACATGTGCAATGCAATTAAAATTGTTCTGTGCATATGCAGAATTGAAAAACAAGATGGCGGCGCTCAGAGAACTGTTTTGGGGGTGTGGCAGGCCTGGGTCACTGCCGGTTCCAGCAACCCAGGCCGCCAAACCATTGGTTGGGCTGAACCAGTCTGAATCGTTAGGAACCAATCACTGGGCAGTTCCCATCAGTAATCTCTGAATCAATATTGTAGGCTGATTTGGCAAATGTGTAACCATATATTTCAAATCAGTGAGTGGATAAATAAATAAACAAATACAAAAAAGTTTACATCTACAACTTTAGGATAACTGAAATAGAAAAAAGGCCGTTAGCCGATCCCTGGGGACAGGCTAAACTATTATATTCTGCAAACTCTTCCTGAAGAGGCGAGTTTCATAACCTTTTAGAAGCCCTAATATTTTGGGAGGGAGGGGAGGAAAGTGTAAGACAATAAGGGGGTAAGCTATTCCTTACAAGAGGAGCCATCATCCCTGGGTTCCTTTTACATGGTGAAATTACGCCCCTCAGAGAGGGCTCGCAATTTGGGAGTCCTCCTGGATCCACAGCTGACTCTAGAACATCATCTGTCGGCTGTGACCAGGGGGGCCTTTGCCCAGGTTCACCTGGTGCACCAATTGCGACCTTATCTGGACCGGGAGGCCCTTTGCATAGTCACTCACGCCCTCGTCACCTCAAGACTGGATTACTGTAATGCGCTCTACATGGGG